ATTCCCAATTATTTCCCAATTCGATTCCTGCAATCTCTTTCTCGACTTCTCTAAACAAAAACCCTGGAAGGCTCGAAGCAAAGAAAAACCCTATCCTCCCACCATCACCTTTAGACACAATCATGGGAACTCCAGAAACATCCTGGGAACCGTGCCCCGACCGCATCCTCGACGACATAGGCTGCGCCTTCGGCATGGGCACTGTCGGCGGTTCTGCTTTCCACTTCATCAAGGGTGTTTACAGAATCAAAAATTATTCAACAGAGCCAATGGTAGGTGGTAGTCTCTTTCCCAGAATCAAATCTCTCATCTCTCTGTCTGTTGCTGGGTCAGCTGAATCCGACTGAAATCCCCGAGAATTACGGGCTCGAAGTCTGAAGCGGTGGGGATGTCCCACACGGCGAGGACCTGGATCCGTACCCAAGATCACGTTCCTTACTCAAGAGGATAATTGGGTTTTCCTTAAATAGCCGCAGGGTTGTTGGGTTTTCTGAAATTTTTTCGAATGGCTTGCGTTGGAGCTGGTTTGATCGGGGGTAGTGGGTCGTCTTGGAATCTGTTGAAGGATAATAAGGCGATGAGGAAGAAGACGGTGAATGATAAGAAGGGGATGGACGACCAAGAATCGCCGTATGGGGCTCTGCTCTCGGATAATGCTGATCCAAGTGGGAATTACACCATTATGTGACTTTTCCTCTCCAATTTTATGAGGATCACTATAAGAAGGCAACCATGGCTTCCTCCTACCTTGAATCTTTCCTCACCCCCTCCTGGACGACACCATCAAGCTCTGGACCGTTAACTCCGGCGACTGCACTCTGCGCGTCTGGAAGTGGAACCACAGAATGTTTAATGCGGATAAGGTGTGGTGTGGACCTGCAAGCCTGGTGAACTCAATGATGGATCTACACCAAAGAAATCCAAAGAAATCCAAGCTGGGATCCACGATGTACCCTTCTCCCCATGTTTCTACATCTGTGGTGGAGCCTTACAACAGCATTCTCTCAACCCATTCTCTGCTGGAGCACACCGATGTATCTGTGTTGCTTGACAATGATGCCATCTACGACATCTGCAGAAACAAAAGAAAAAGAGAAAGACAAAAGCAAAAAAGGTGCAAGCTGTCACCAACGAGTCATATTCGTCGGTTCAAGCAAGGCAAAAGCAACAAAGGTGCAGAGATCAAGCAAAGCAGAAAAGCAGTGGGGAATAAAGCAGGAAAAAGAAAGCAAAAAATAAAAGCAGAAAGCAAAAGAGAAAGCAAAAGAGAAAAGCAAAAGATTTTCCTATTATTATGATTCCTTCTGTTTCCCAGGTGAAGATACAGAGAGAGGGCAGCAGAAAAACACTGCAAAAGCAAGGAATAAACACCTCACCCGAATGATGTAATTTATTTTTATTATCTTTCGGAGACATCTGTATAAACTCCATCAGAGGGTAATATGTATAAACCCCATCAGAGAGTAATTAAAAAAAAAAAGCCCAAATAATGGGCTATAATGTCATATGGAGGGCAAAGGCCCATATGCCCAAAAGACCCAGGCCATTTATTACCACCAACCAGGTGATCAAAAGTACGCCCAGTACTCCACAATTATTCGGCAACCTACCGCTATTACAACCAACCAGGTGATGAAATGTACAACCTGTACTCTAAAATTATTTGGTAACTAGTCATTCATGCCACCAACCAGGTGGTGAAATGTACAACATGTACTCCCTTTCATGCCACCAACCAGGTGATCAAAAGTACGCCCAGTACTCCAAATTATACATAAGCATTACTCATATCATTCATACATAAACATTCATGAGCATCACTCATGAAAATCATACATAAAACATTCATAACCATCATTCATGTCAACATTCATGAGCATCACTCATGTTAACATTCATGAGCATCACTCATGACAACATCCATGAGCATCACTCATGTCAATCAACATAAACATTCATGAGCATCACTCATGTCAATCAGCTTCAAAAGCTTCATTTACAAAGCTCCAGCTTCAAAGCTTCACTTACAAAGTTTCAGTGCAGGGTATACAAATACCACCTCCGAACAACTGCCACTTCGGCCCATACATGGATTCAATTTGAAGTCTCCAGCCAACAGACTCTATTGACCGAAGACTTGAGGGACTACATTATGTACCATATATTAGGCCTCAACTAGGCCTCATGAAAAATACTTGAGGGACTTAGCCCATTATTTATGTATTAAGGAGCAAGCCCTTATTCTATATAATGGACTCCCTCACTTTCATTAGAGAACACTAATTATTCATGTACTGAAGATTTAGCCCTTATTTTATAAAAGGGATTTCCTCACCTTCATTAGAGAGCAACGCCACCAACTGAGCAACCGCCTCGTTGCGAGCATCACTCCTAGCCCATCACTTATGTATTGAGAAGCGAGCCCTTATTTTATAAAAGGGACTCCCTCACCTTCATTAGACAGCAACACTGCCAGTTGAGCAACCGCCTCACCGCGAGCATCACTCATAACCCATCACTTATGTATTGAGGAACGAGCCTTTACTCTATAAAAATGACTCCCTCACCATCATTAGAGAGTATCGCCGCCTACTGAGCAACCTCCTCGCCGCGAGCATCAACTCTAGCCCATCATTTATGTATTAAGGAGCGAGCCCTTATTCTATAAAAGGGACTCCCTTGCCTTCAAACGCCACAAGCCTAGCCAACCAAGGCAACATTAACCACGAGCCGAGTAGCCTCGCAGCATGTGCTACTTCTAGTTGAGCATCATTTCAGATTGAGCACCGCCTCATATCGAACATCAGTTCAAGACAACATCAAGTTACTTCGACCCACGCATGGACTGAATTTCAAGTCTCCAGCCAAAAGACTCTCTTGACTGAAGACTTGGGGGACTACTGTTTATACCATATTTAGGGCCTCGTATTTAGATCTCGTACAAATACTCCGGGGACTTAAATGTAATTATGTGATAAAGGAATGGGCAAATATGTAATAAGTGAGGAGTCCTTATTCTATAAAATGACCCATCACCCTCACAATTAAGAAGGCCAACTCTTAGGCCTGAAACCCTCTCACATCCCTTCTCATATTACAGAGGCTCTCTCCCCCACTTCTCAGAGAAATACAATACAATCAGTGTGGACGTAGCCCAAACCTTGGGGTAAACCACGATACATCTTGTGTTATTTACTTTCATGCAGATTCACGGTCGGATTTACGTTGTTCCAAGATCTCCGGTTTTGTGCATCAACAAGATCATTGTCAGAGATGGTTTCTCCTGCAGCAACTAATTAGTGTTTCAAGTGTTTAAGTTGTAGCAAGTACTTCTCAATAGAATAAGTTCATTTCTTAATAGTATGGAGTTCAGTCTTCAAATGATTGATCCTTGCTCGAGATACCGTTGCATAACGATCAATAAGTTGAGTCCATGCCTCATGTACAATTTTTTACTGCCAATAACATACTCAATAGCTTTATCTCCAAGAGTAATAATGAGAAGACTAAGTAAAGCCTTGTCTGCCTTGATCCATTCAAGATAAGCTGTTGTAATCTCTTTAGTAATTCCATTCTCCAAAGAGACCACATACTTTGGCAGACACACATTCGTACCATCAAATAAGTCAAACAGATTATAGCCTTCCAAAACAGATTGAAATTGGAAAGACCATTTGGCATAGTTATCATCCAATAATCGAATTGTAAGCATCCCTAGCAATCCATCAATCTTGAGTGGTGTAGATCCCATTTTCATAAAAATACCCAATGTAATATTGAAGAATTCACAGTAAGTATCACAGAACAACACAACAAGAAAGCTTAGTGCTTGTAATTGCCACAACTTTGTGGAATCAGTGAGCTTTGTGCCCTAATTTCACCAAAATATAGGCTTCATGCCACAAATCTTGTTTGTAAAACTCCATACACAGGACGGAGCTTCGTGTTAAAACAATCTTTCACAAAATCAAAGGAATCGCAACAAAAATTTCTCCAAAGAAACAGATATGGCTTTGTTCCTTCATAAATTTTCAAGATTTAACACTATTCATCTATCAATAGTTCACATATGGCATCGTGCCTTAACAAATTTCAAGAAATTGCAGGTAAAAGCTCTAAATTTAGGGCTGGTTTGGTATTGCTGTGCTTTGAAAAAAAGCTGCTGTGAGAATAAGTGGCTGTGCTGTGAGAATAAGCGGCTGTGAAATAAATCAGCAGAGTGTTTGGTAAACTTTTTTGTAAAAGTGCTTTTGGAAAAAAAAACAGTCTAATAGTGGGTCTTTTCATTAAAGAAGCACTGTAGCTCAGTGTGCTTTGAAAAAAAGCCAGTTTTCCAAAGCTGCAAATAGCAGCTTCAACTTTTTCCTTTGATTTCAGCTTATTCTCACAGCAGCTTCCAAAATAAGCCATTTTTTTTCAGTTTACCAAACACCTAAAACCCTCACAACTTTTTTTCATGGGTGCTTTTTTTTTAAGCACCTCACTCCCAAACTAGGTCTTAGAAGAACAACACCTAATTCATTTGATAGCCATACCTACAAAGCTCCAGAACTCCCATAAAAAACTTCAACCACCTTCAAGAAACCCCAATTAATGCTCTGATTAGCACCAACAGGAGCACAAAATCTTCAACCGCCTTCAAGTAACACCGATTAACGCTCTGATTAGTACCGACTAATGCCAAGATCGGCACCGTACCCAAAAAAAACCTAGGCTCGATACCATCATAACAATTTGACAATGGAAGCAAGAAAGATTGCAAATGTAGAGAAAGTGAAAACTTTATTACTGTAGTGAGTAAACATTCATTACAAAACAATATATCTCAGCTCACTATTTATATGCAACTACAAGACTTAACAGCTAAGTAAACTAGCAACTACCTAACAATCGAGAGCACAAGATCATGACACATGTCACCACAAAGATCATGACATTTGGCATTTACATATTGGTTAATAGAGAAAACTAATGATCTTAAACCCACCATTTTTTTTTTTGACTCATATATAAGAATATAGGTCTAAAATTATAAGTCTTGCGTAGAAGATGGCCTCACACTTCCGTCTAATAAATTGATTTCTTTTTTCTTTTATTAAATTAAAATATAAGATAGTAATCCTAAGTACGTGTGCTCAAAGGGTAGTAGTATTATTTCTACCAAAAAAAAAGGGTAGTAGTATTATATATAACTTCATGAAGTAACTACGTTGTAGAAGTGGCAAGGAAATCAGAGAGCAAAACATTCACAAGCTCATACATAGATAAGGCAGAATCTACAGGAGGTATGACAAAACAATTACTACTCATCAACCCAACCTGCTGAGTTATGGAGTGAGTACGTCAGGTAAGAACCAAGGGCAAAACCCACGGGGATACAAGAGTAACTAGATCGAACCTTTGTCGGATCATAATTGTCTCTACTCAACATAGGTCAGTCAGATCCCAAAGCACTCGTTGTTAAGCAGTTAAATCCATCCAGTCAAGATGCATTCGACTCCATAGCTGATGCGTTTCCCAAGTCAGACTCCCCTGTACATATTTCAATCATTTCATTACAATGTGGTCTATATGAGATGTCTTTCATGCACTCGATAACATGCTTCAAGTTTATAGCCCTATTGCCAGAATGGGGCTCATTGCTACTTGTGATGAACCTTCTTACTGTGTTGTCAGGAAGGTTGACCTGGATTCCACCGCTGGCAGCTACAAACTGCATACCAAGCTCAGAATTATGATTATCATTATCACCACGCTTAGTGGGTGTAGGCATTTCATTGCACATCTCATTAATTAGCAGGAAAATTTCCACTATCTGTTTTGTTCACTGATGAAATCTCATCCATTCCTCTTCTGTTCTTTTCACTTTCACCATGCTGCAGCTTTTGAAATGTATCATTGTCCCAATTTTCTCACGGTTGAGACTCTTCTAGCATACTCCATCACCAATGCTCCTAGAATGTCTCTTTCTCTGCCCACCCAGTGAAGACTTGTTTTCCCCGGAGATGGAAGTCTTAAGTTCTATTTTAGATGATGTATTTGTTGGCACATTTCTCAGAATATCAAACCCAGAACATACTTTTCTGTCATCCATTTTCGCATAAAATGTCTTTTGCTTCTTCTTGGATAGTCCAAGAGCAGTTTTTATCCTATGTAATTCTTCCAAGGGAAGTGTTCTCTTCTTAGACATGACATTTTCTCTCTCTACAAGGGACTCTAATGTCAATTTTCTCTTCTTTTTTTTTTCACCCATATTCTTTTTCACTTCAACATTAGGGAATTTTAAGTGGTCCCTTAATATAGGTCTGCCGTAGTTTTGGTTAGAATAAAAGGCAAAACCACTCAGCAAAACTGCAGCCAACAAGATAACATGGAGAAGAAGCTCATTAGAGAAAATAATACTTACGTGCAATATATAAGGATGCGGTTAGGTAATAGACCTTCGCATGCTCTTGCTATTAATCTTCCTTCTCCCATTTCAAAACCAATCCCTCTGATACAAGTTATACTAGCATCAACCATCTAGACACAATAGTAAAGGGACTATGGCATCAAGAGCCATAATCGCATATTAAAAACAAAACAAAACCAGTAGACCATTAAGAGAACTTGGGCAAACATTTCATGTGGTGTGATTTAGGGCATCACATGACATTTCATGTGGTATGATTTAGGACATCGCATGCACACAACAAACTTTAACTCATGATCCTTCATATCATACCATTGTTGTGCACTAAATCAATCTAAACAAAAGAAATAAGGAAAATGGAATATTCCAGATCAAGAAAGATAAAAGCCAACAGAGAACAATATACAATGAGCTTTTCTATAGTTTGCAAACTATCACAGCAAGCATAAACCAAAAAATAATCAATCACCTATAGTTCTCCAATTAGCGTGAAGAGGAAAAAAAGAAATATCTCTAAATTCTCCAGCTACCAATGCCTACAAAGAAGCCCAAAATTGCTCTACTCCACAATGTAATCACCTCTTTATCTTTGGAGATTCTAGTATTCCTTTCTAATCAAATCACTCAAAAGAAATTCAAACATCTCTATTAAGTTTCTAGCTTGATAATTTATACCTACACCAAAGATGCAATGTTTCTCCGAGTACAAATACACAAGATACTCGAATGACCCAGCTCAATTACATCTGCCCAAATAGCTTATGCAACAATGTTGCCTCCTCCAATAGTTTGTCACCAAAGGCTTGTACAAGAACCTCCAATAGCTTATGCAACAATGTTGCTTCCTTCAAATAACAGTGTTTCCATACTGATTCCCTGTCAAAAAAAAAAAATCTTCACAGGTGCTAAATCCTAACAAAGGCGCAATCCTTGTCAATCAGATTCTTTGCTCCTAAGCCCACTTATAATGAGTTTTCCTCCTAAGCCACCAAAATTTACCCACTAACTCCCCTCCCCCCAAAATTAATTATCACAGAGAAGTTAACATATCTTAAATAACCTTGTATCCATTTCCTCTACACCACACCAAAGCCTCATTTTGCCTTTAGCACAAAATAAAAACTGGAAAAAAGGTCCTTACCGTTTAATAGAAAGAAGAAAACAAAATAAAACAAAGATAACCAAATTCCAACCAGAACAATGCCTAGACAATTAAATGGACACAAAACACAATTTTCCATAAGATGAAATGGGCACAAAAACACAGCAAAGTAAAGAAGTACGTCATATGAAGTAAACAACATAATAATTGGATTCAAGAAAGGTATAAGGGGGTCTAATCAAAGTGAACAAAAGGAGGAGAAGACAATGAGGTAGTCAACCTAACACTACACAACGATTCAAAGAAATTATCATAACATTAAGTTGAAGTAAAAAAGAAAAATACCTAGAAAAGGGCTAGTTTTGAAGTACATATATTTTTGTCAGTGTGCCGATCGCTAAAATTATCAAGTGGCACTCCATATAGCTATATATAAAAATAATCCTATATCAACATACAATGATACCAACAATTCAATAGTAGTTCAGTTTCTTACAACAAACTCATACCTCTGCACTTATAGAGTTATAAGAGGAACGTAACTTTCCCACAAGCAAAGCATTGATGCTGCTTATATTTATAGTTCTTTCAAAGAAAAGTTGGCGTACGTTGCCTACCAAGTTTAAAACAATAGTATATATTATATAAGATTTCAAACAAAGATCACAGAAAAAGATAAAAGATTTACGAAGTAAATATTTAACAAGAGCATACATCTACTTTGTCCTTGGTCAAGCCAAGAGATTTGCAATCAGATCCCAAAGCAGTCTCTATAGTTTCCTCTGCGTGGGCTTCTCTTCAAGAAAATTTGCTAACAACTATTAAATCACAATTTGTCATTGAAGTTAATTGTGCATAAGAGAACGACAAAGTTTATATTTTGTTGTACCATATATTTGGCCTTAGTATTTGGACCTTATGACCTAGCCCATAATGTATGTATGAGCTGAAGGAAACCCTTATATTATATAAAAGGGATCCTTCTAGGGCTAGGCATGGGCCGGGCCGGGCCCAATTTTGAAGGGACCGGACCCTTGTTTAAAAGAAATGAGCTGAGCCGAGGCAGGTATAACATATTTTAATAAAGAAACCGAACCTAACTTGGCCCGGTTGAAATGGACCGGTTCGCATCGGGTCCACGAGTCTTTTTTTTTCTTTTCGGGATCATTCATTTCTTCTGCAACTCAATAGCACTGCCCGAACGACCGCCACTCAAGGCCGTCTTCATCCATGCCCACCTCACCATTAGATCCAAACCCACCAAACTCAATTCCAAATCGCCACCCACAATGAGATTCAACGCTACCTAACTCAGATTTGCCTCTTCTCTTGCTCAAATCTTGGATAAGAAGCATGAAATTGAATCATATGCACTAAATATATGAAGTTAGACAAAGAGAGACCAGAGTGACGGAGGAGACGAGGGCGTAGGCGGTGCATAAAGCGTAGAAGATGTCGTCCTGCCACCAGGAGGACTCGTTGATCTCGTCCCACTAGTTGAAGAACATCGAGACGACTTTCATAGGCGTAAAGCTCCATCTTCGTTGATCTAGAACCCACCATCATCAACGAGGTTCTTTATCGTCATAGCGCCATCATCGTCAATCTTCGATCTTTGATATCCCTCAGGTGCCTCGAAACATCCCCGATTTAGAGCCTCGTGTCATTGTCGACGCCATATTCAACGGTCGAAGTCGGGAGATAGAGACATCGAGTTGGGATGAGCAAGAGAAATGGGGACAAAGGATGAGCTTGACTGGTTGTGCCACTGCCAAATCCAAACTCTAAGATTGAGATTTAGAGAGAGAGAAGGGGACTCAACGAGTAAAGCATAGGACAGGTCGGTTCAGGGACCCGGGTTCTAGCCCCACCCCTGTAGATACCCTATCCCCGCCCCAACTCGCCCCACCCCGTTTTGTCTTTACCATATTTGGCCCGCCCAGAATCGACAATATCCGTCCAGACCCGCTGGTCTTGTACCCATTTGCCCAACCCTAGATCATTCACCCTTACTTTAAGGGGGGCAAAGAATAGCAAAAAGAGCAAACCCTACCCTCTATCTCCATGTACGTTGTAACCCTCAATTTACATAGTGAAACCGAATCGACACCAGTGTGGACGTAGCCCCAATTTGGGGTGAACCACAATATATCTTTGTGTTCTTATACGTTTGTGTGATTCAGGATCGGATTTACGTTGGTCCAAGATGGACCCGATTTTGTGCATCAACATATTTCTTGCAGAAGGCTTAAGTTGTAATATCGGCTTTGAAAAGTTACTTATGGTTCAATAGAAAAGCCAATGGATTAGAAAATGAGAATAAAATCCGAGTGAAAATAAAACAAAGATAAAACCAGTTGAATCAAATTATTTTAAGCAACAAAAATTAGGCTAATCTTTATTTTGGTGGTCTACGTTGTTGGCAACTAGCTGGATGGTGGAGTCTAAAGTAAACTAGGAAATTTTTTAATTTCATCCCAATTATGATTTAGGCAAGAACTACTATGACCAAGCAAGCACTCATTTTCAATCAGCTGATGTCAATAAAATAAATAAAGTTCATAACGTATCCTAAGTAATCTAAAAGATAGGTAATGATATGAAATGCTAAAACAATGACTAATTACATATTGCAACTAAAATGATAATGGAAGATGCTAAACATACCTTGCACCTCGCTAAGGCACCATTCCGTTTAATATAATCCTTTATTAAAGGTGTGTGATCTGCCAGATCATTCTGAGAACGCCTGACGTCATACAAGAACAGTCAAACTTTGCACTAAAAGTAGCAAAACAGAGGTAACAAAGGGTGGTTGTTTTGAAAGCTACCTGAAAACTTTAGACAATTGAACCTGCAACGATTTGTAGGATGTTTCAGGCTTATAAGTGAAGACGAATAGCATTAGACCGTAGTATTATATGGCCACATTCAACTTTATTGCTTAAAGTAAATAAAATCTAAATAAGATGTATATTGCAAATCTAAGATGTGTCAATTTCATGGACCATTTTTTATAAAAAAAAGTTATAAAAATAATGTGCATGCCATCTTAAATCAGCAATCTCATGCCCTCCAAATCAGGAATTTAATCAACTATGGGACTAAGGAACTAAGAATGAAAACTTGATCAACAAAGTTTCCCAATACCTCGATTCCTCATTCTTGATAAGTAAACATGTCGTTAGCGCCCTCGAATGAGGTTAAAGTTCTTATTAACGCAAACGGGTTTGATATAAGCACTTTATCGATACGAAAGACAAAATTCAACTGTCATTCTTCCAGATTAGTAACAAAAAAGTTCTCCAACATATGCTCTTTTCTTGTACATTTCATTTCACCTCTTGCACTTCACTCTCTTTTATTTTCTTTCCATTTTTTACCTCACCCACCAATCAAAAAACATATCTTGTGAATTACATCGTCTCTGGAATGACGTAATTACTGTAAAAACGAAAATTACTATCTACATGGTGGAAGTACTTTACAATGTCGTCCTTTTTTTTTTCTTTTCTTTCAACCTGTGACTCTAACTCTGTTTACAACCAACCATGTTTTTATGGAGCTCTCTAAGTATATTTACGCTTTTCCTTCGACCTACTTAACAGCTATGCACCCTCCTTCCCCTTCCACCCCGATCCCGCCTCCCAGAGGAGTGTTGCTGCCATCATTCTCAACCTGTGTAGTGTCTGAGGCAGTGTCGTCGATGCTCAAGTTTGAAATTTCACCGCCAAGAGAAGAACAGCTTTCATCCTCTCCGCTGATAGATGTTGCCGGTGACGCGTCAACAGGGGATGGCAATCTTTCTGTGTCATCAACCGGTTGTTGCAGACTCCAAAACATAATGCTGGCTGTTAGTGTCAAAAGCATCTTTTGATTCACCTGCAATAACATCACAATAATGACTTGGTGTTAGTTGAAACTGCAGTTTATGAAGTTATATGAACCCAAAAGTAGTGCTTGTCTATAAATTTCAAGGGCACGTCGGAATTTTTTTATCTAAAACGCAAAGCTTCAAAAATATTCGGCCACAAACCGTACTCAATTAAAATGGTGTGACAATATCATTCTCATAAATCATGCAGGTCATCAAAACGATGAGAAGGTGTCACTACTTTAGTCTCTAAGTATTAAATGAGGTAAATCAACAAAAGAAACATTGCAGTTGGAGTTATTCTTTACCTCCATGATGTCCTCAGGCAACAAGAATATGGAACAGCCAAGCTTCCGTGCAACGCTGACTATGTATGTAGCATTCAACTTCTTTTCATCAGCTATCATGGCAACCAAAAAAGCACTTTTCTCATTAGTACTTTATTTAAACTTGGCCAAAGGGTCAAGGGCCATTTCTTGCTCAGCTGTAAACGATATTGCAAAGAAGCTTACCACTTTCACCCTTGGTAACAAGATTCCAATTGACAACTCTAGGCTCCACAGCACTGAGAAGCTCGAGGAAGAAAATCCCGTTTGACAGGCTCTTATCCTGGAAAAAAAAATCCCAGGTTTCAGGATACAACATATAAACATATATAGAATTATGACCTCGCTTAAACTTAAAAATGAAAACAGGTTTAGTCTGGTTGAACCTTAAAACTCTCCATTTGAGAAGTTCTGCCTGTGCTTCTGACTTTGTTGTTAGCCCACTTTAAAATATCAGCGTCTGTCATCTCCTTTCCTTGGGAGTGAGATCTTAGATTTTTCAAAAGTTGAAGCATATTAAACCTCATCAACTGCCATAGGAATGCTGAAAAAAAAAAGGGAAAACGTACTTTAGTATTTAACAACAAATTCTAAATAAACAAAGAGATGTCGAATAATCCAATTCAAGAAAAGGAGAAAACATTTTATTTATTTATTAACTGCAAGCAAGTAGCAAACAACTAGACAGCATTTTATTCTTGAGAATAGAAAACGAAGAAGCTTAACGTAAAGTCAGATTGTCACCCTCTGAAAACAGATTCATGTAATTTATTAATACACTACATCATGCAACTCCATTGCAGAACTCAAATAAAACTGAGGTAGTCAGTGAAATCAATAGAAGATAACCAGAACCAGTGAAGAATAAAATTCGATGTAGTATTTATCCAGTTGCTGCTAAGCTCAAAAGCAAAGGGACTAGGAAGGTGCACACAAGTACATATTGATGAGTGAAAATTACCAAGTATGAGTTTCTTGTTTCCCTGCACAATATCATTTCCAGCTACATTCACCAGCGAGAATTTCAGTTGCTTTCCAATCCTTACAACTTGATTGCAATTCTCCACTTTTCTAAACGGCATTTTAATTGGAGGCTTTGATGCTTGCTTCCAGTTAACTGAACCTGGTGAAACCTTATCGAGTACTTCTAATAGTATCCATCTGCATACAAGAGTTATAAAAGTAAATCCCACATATAAGAGGCTTGTGAAAACGAAAATCATAAATTAATCAGGAAAAAGCAATGTAACTATCTCTGTCAACTGTCAAATAAACTAAATAAATTTTGGCGACATGCAACACTTCTCACATGTTTGACTGATAATCAACAACTTTTTTAAATATAGAAAACTTTTCAAGTTGATAACTCTTTCTTACCCATTTCTCACATCTTCAAACACATTATTAACATAACTACCAATGCCTAGACTGTTGATCCACAGCCGGAAACATCTCTCTTCTCTTGATGTTTGCACATCATCTGTCATCATCTCTGCAAAAGAAATCTTCTTGCTGTCTGTAGAGAGGCCATTCCTGCACACAGACACAGTATATTCAAACAAATTACCAAAATTATCAAGTACACACACGCACACACACCCAGAGACACAGAGACACGGAGCAGGGAGGGTACGGAGGGGAGAGGGAGGGGAGAGGGAGGGAGGGAGAATGATAAGACCAAAATCTAGGCTACTAGGACATGATTCCATCAGATTCGTTTGACAACATATCATATGCAGGATTGTATGCCTATGCTTATCCTCAAAATTCTCTACCTAATTAGTTCCATCCCATATAACATGTCTTTCGTAAAACAAAACGAAAATAATACAAAGTTACTTTCTGACTATAAAAGATAGTGATAGTTCATTTCCAACCTTTCATGGAATATTTGTGCCACAAATGCCAGATTTAAGTTTGAAGAACCCTCGAGAATGTCTTTTGGAGTCAAGTATCTTTTGCAGTTCATTCTCTCAGCATGATCGAGAACCAACTTTGCCCTTTCATTGGGTTTGGCATCCAATGTAGCGGGATTGCAGTGTTCTGGAGCAAGAACATTAAGTAGGTAAGCATAAGCTTCTCCATCCTGTGCTTGGATTACAAATCATGGAAAAACAATCAGATGGTTTAAACGTCAATTCAAATTGTGAGAAACCAATAATGATAGAGCGGTATTTAGCAGTGCACTGCAAGTTCTGATTGAATGAATTATGAAGGAGATAAGTGAGGAAAGAGGATATCACTTGCAAATATTTAAACTGGAAACAATCTCATTATCAATACTAGTCCTTCACACTCTCTTCTATACCAGGACAAATACATTCTGCGTTATATTACCTGTTCTATATATCAATCAGATCATTTCTTTTCAAGTTAGTTTGCGTTGGAGAAATAACCGGATCGTATTAAGAATTCTAAATTCCTTACTGCCTACCCGCAAAAAGAGAGAGAAAAAACACAAGAGGAATAACTATGGCACTGCTACTGTGCTAGATGCTCCTAGATATACAATAGGAATGATAAAATACCTTCACGTCAGAAGAAAAGTTTGAAACAGGTTTCTTGTAGCCTGCTTTCTGGAGGTGAAAATTCATCCATTTCAACAAGACCTTCTCAGGGGGTAAACTCAAAAGCTCTTCAACATCCTGTGACATAATAATACAAGAAAAAT